GACGCCAAAGGCGCTTTCCGTCATCCCCAAGAAATCTTGTAGACACAGTGAAGCCAGCTACCAGCGAGGCAGTTCACGCAACATCTGCGAGTCGAGCAAAAGATTAAGCAGGCAAGCAACACTTGATATATATGCATACATAGAGAAAGAGAGCCTATCCCCCAACAGTCTGCATCCGTTCGAGGCTCGGCCCCTATTCGGGGATGTCGGGGATGTGAGTACGCCCCCCTGAGTGTACCAGGTGTGACCAAAACACCCCTCCTAAGACCACTATACATGCAATACACCTTCGTCTGGTCCCACTCAGGTCATCCGTGGTTCACGAAGGAACTGCAGGCTAATAGCTACAAGATGGAGGCTGCACTGCAAGAATGCAACAAAACATGCACGAATAGCTGGAGCTACCTCTGGCACTGCCTCCATCTGTCTCTCTAGCTCCACTCCCCCAACAAGCGGTGAAAACTCCGTGTTTTAAGCCCCAGCTCACCTGCCTCCCCACCCAAGCTCGCAGTCCAGTTGATAACTACGTAGTTTTGGAGCACGTCGTAGTCTTCATCAGACGAGACACTCAAACTCGGGGGCCAGCCACTGCGAGACGGCTTCGAACTTTTGTTCCTGACAAGGGTGTCTTTCCGAATGCGTGCTGTCCGTCTTTTTTGTCACCCCGTTATGATCCAAGGGTGGAAGAACAGACTTTTGACTCACGCAACTGGGCTAAGCTCCTCTGCAAACTCTAGGGAGCCGGGAGCTTCGGGAATCGCCCGGCTGGCAAGTTTACAGCTGAGACTCGCTCGTTGCAAACGCAGCTTGCATCATGAGATACTGGTCGAACTTGCGCACGACGTGTTTGGCCAGTGGCTCTTCTGCATACACTGGCGAAAGGGGCATGGAACAGGTCGGACGGTCCTGCCAGGGGACTCAGCACCGAAACTGACTAACACCAGACACTGTCAAGCGCTCTTGAATTTTGATGATGACTTCAATCTGCAGCCATGCCCAGCTCCTCTGCGAAGGCCACCGCTTCCACGGTGCCGGAATGCGCAACGGATTCGTCTTGAACTTTAAACCCGACGGCTGTTCCAACCAGACTGCTTACCGTCGCTGTGCACAAAGCAATATATGCCACGTGTCGCCAAGATGCCAGCCTCAGGCGTCTCAAGTAGTGGCTCCGGGCAGTGTGCGTGATCGCAGTCACTCCGAAAACAAAATAGGATGGACGTAGCACGTCTTAGCGTTAAACCCTGGTTGTGATCTTGCCGATCCTTTGATTGAGAGCTGGTGGGTGTTGCTGCAGCGTTTGTCGTTTTCGGCTTGCGGAGGAAAGCCGCAGCCACACCCCACTAGCTCCTTTGAACAGCCGGCTGAGAAGCATCGAGTCAGCAATCAGCCAAGAGGCGGTTGATTTTCGCTCCAGCCCGAGGACAGGGAACGGTAGCCATGTTCCTCATCTTGCTCAATCTCCTCAGCGGTAGTGCCTTGCGCCATGCGCAGCCTTCCAACCGCCACCACCGTTCAAAAGGACTTTGACTTCCTAAAGCAGTACACCCGCTGGGTGGCAAGTGGCAGAATGAAGCCCACTTACAGAAAACTCGTGGCACAGGACTTGAGCCACAGACTGCGTCGTCGTACAACGCAATGGCTTCTACCAGGAGACCTTAGGTCTTACCTGAAAGAGTCGAAGAGCTCGCGGTTCCGCTTGAATCATGCAGAGCTCTGCTGCTGTGCTTGCAGTCTCTCAGCGGGTGCCCCTCGGATGTGGCATAGGTCATCAGACACTTCCGAAGGCCTTCCGCTGTGGAGCTGCAGTGGACGCGGCAGCGTGGGTCGCCTTCCCGCAGGATTGGATGCCGAGGGAGCGTTGAGATGCGTTGAGAAGCTTGTAGAACAAAAGGGCGAGGCGTGGAAAGTTCTGGGTGCCGAGGGTTGTTCCAGTTTCTCTGCCACTCTCTTCGGGCCGAGCTGTTCTTAGACGGGACGGCTCCGATGAAGAGTTTAGCAGGGGCATAGGATCAACCGTGGCGCTTGCATGCAGCACCTGACCGTTACAATGCGGCATCGCCCCCCGATGTCCAAGGCGACGACATGGCGACTCAGAGCTGTAGAACTCAAAAGGCCTGCTTCGCTGTCTGGAGTTGCGCCGCCGGTCACCAAAGGAGCTGTCCTGATGAGTTCAATGGCCCGGGCAGGCCATTTTCCACAAACGATTCCACGAAAAATCACGAGCCGGCGGAGGGTGGAACTGTCAGGCTCTGTGGGTCACCTAAGTGGCTCCGGTGAGCCCTTTCAGCCACAGATCCCGCAAAGGTGTCGGGGGTCCGTAAATCAATAACAACACCCGGCCATGGCAGATTCTGCCCAGTAGCACGAGCCGCCGCCCTCCATTCATGGCTAAGGTGCCCGAAGATGTTATGTAATTCGTGTAAGTGTACTTAAGTTAATCGATTCGCTGCATGTACCAGGCTTTGAGACCAGCGAATCCGATCTTCGCGCGCCTGGTCTGGACGGCAAGGCTCGCAGGTTAGGCACGGCGTCACCTCAGGTTTCGACAGCTGGTGACAAACCGCAAAACAGCCTTTGCGAGTCACCCGTTGTTTGTCATTGCCTTTTAACCTCTTGGGAAAGTTTCGGAAGGTCGTTGAGTGAGTGTGTCGCTGATAGAGCAGAACGAGCAAAGTGCTTCGGCCGCCAAGTCAAGCGCCATCGACTGCAGCCACCAGGGCCAGGACATGGCGTCTGCTGCGGCAAGGAAGCACGGCAAGAGTGCCAAAGCGTCTGTGGTGAGGCGCTCCTATAATCGTGAAACCACTTACGATGACATCACTAGGAACATGTTGGCGCATTTAGCCTTGCAGTACCTTGCAGTAATACATGCAGGGTAAACCTTTCTCAAGCGGAGAACAAGCACAATAGATATGGGACGCTTGCAGCCTCTTCGTGCAGAACACGAAGCAATGGATTGCCACCTTTCTCATGGAGACATGCGGATCGCATGCCGGGGGGCTTTGACCCGTGAGGCTACGCAGGAGGTCTTTGCGAACTCTTCCAGGCCCCTCTTCATCAATGCTATTGATTTACTTGTTGCAGCACACACGGGATTGCGAAGAGGGTGCAACTTGGAAAGTTACACAAACCAGCGCAAGCAGCTCGTCGCCGACAGGTCATGAACCTGTGAACCGCCGCCGGTCTTCACGGCCCTTGTCGTGCGGCGCCACTGCGACGTTCTCGCTAGATGAGAGCATGCACTTCTCGAGTTCTTCTCAAAAAGGCAGAAACTTCCGGAAGTCGGCGTTGGAGAGGTTTGTTGGGGCAGCCTGCATGGCAAAAACGTGCCGAAGCACACGAGCTGCTTGCGACTGCAGGTTTGCAGCACTTGCAACTTGAGATGCACACATGCTCGCAACGCAAGCATTGCAGTCACATTTTCCACTCCTCTGAGCCAGCGAGACTTGGTAAGCGAACTTCCTTTGTGGCCTTTTGAGAGGAATTGTTCTGACATCCGACAGACCTATCTTTCTGGCATGTCTCTCCATGCCTCTCGTCGAGGTATACCTGCGGAAAATAAAAGCTAGGCCCACCTCTCGTAGGCTCTCTGCTACGACTCTGCGTGCTTCTCCTGGTCATGAAGAGACGCGGGGACTGTGTGTGCAGCGCATTGTTGACTGGTCACATGACGGTGAAGACTGAGCCGATCGTTGCAGCAAGTGACAGGGTGTGGCAAAGGTATTGAAACAGTCCTTCGTAGAGCGCGGAGGTGTGGGTTGCAACGCCTGCCAGGCAAATCGAGGGGCCGAGCACACCCTTCACAAGACCCGTGCTGCCGTGCTGTCCGTCAGTTCCACTATTGGTTTGGAACCGTTTCTGCAAGGTCCTTCGGCAGCACAAGGTAGCGCCAGCCGGGCAGGATCACAAGCACCTAGGTTGTCGGGTCATGTGGGTCTTGTCAACCACGCGGCCTAGGAAACACCCACAGCCTGGTCTCGCAAAAATTGAAAGTAATGCTTGGCAATGCTTGGCTGTGATCGGACGGCAGTGGCAGTGGAGGCATCCGCCAAGTAGCGGTCACGATGCTGATGAGGACCTGATCCTAGCGCAAGCTCGCGACAAGGGACAACATAACTGGTGCAGGCCAAACAGGTTCTCGCTTGGGATTTCTCATACCTCCAGTCTGCTCAATTGGCACTCCCGTCACCACCCAACAGCCCCACGCGTTGGTGGCAGACCTCGTTGTCGAAGAACTCGTGATTGACCAAATCCCATTTGCTGAGATGGTGCACTATCCTGACAAGAATTGGTGCACATAAGCCGTGACATCTCATGATCCTCGAGAAAGATGCAAAACATAAATAGAAGTTGACACTCCAACAGATGATAGTGATTAGGCTAATCGTCAACACTCACCGACCAGGCGGCGCAGCAGAGTACTTTCTGAAAGCAGAAACTGGCCCGAATTCAGCCACGGATCTCATGCGAAGCCGCCGCGAAGGCCTTCTCCTAGTGAGTACTTGGGGAGATGGTAGAATTCGACTAGCTACACCATGACGGCGTATGCAGCACCCGTCTGAAGAAGTGGTATTGCTCTTCGTTTTGCGGTTCACCCTCCCAGCAAACACGTCCGAAACGGTCCGAGCATGCGGTTCTCCGTCACGAGCAACCACACTGACTCTTACTCCTAACTCCTAAACTGCTGCAAACTACTGCCGCCGCCTGTGGGTCAAGGGCTGAGCCGAGCGTGTAACAATATAAGCAACATGTGCACCTTGCCGACCATCCTCGCCGCCAAACACGGGCGTTCCACACCTTCCTTTGCATTTACACAGGCTCCTGCGTGAGGCTACGGGTGTTCCTCCAAAAATGGGGCTCGATAGCAGAGCCATGAAAATGCTGACTGCTCAGGACAATGAGAGTGTTGGAGGCGGCCAGGAGCCGAAAAGCAGGTCCAGTGCGACGTCTTCTCCCATTGATGAAATCGCCCTTCCTCGCCGTGTCCGGCACGAAAACCGGATCATGCGCCTGAAGACCAGCTACACTCTTTTGCACAGGGGTGAAGTAGATTCACCCCACAGCGCCCCCCCTGCCGGACTGGCGACTCCAACCTTGATCCTCAAGAGCGATCTTTTGTGGCAGATGGGGGGGGACCGGCAGTCTTTCCAAGTGTCCCTTCGAAGTCTCTCCATTCCAAGACCTATAATCTATAAGTTGTCTACAAGGCCTCCTTCTGACACTCACATTTTCGCATCACTTGGTTGGCTCCCCGTTCTTGCATCGTGCCTGAACTGGACTCTGGTTCATGATGTCTCAGGGGACCACTTGGTCTCGGCGGCCAGAATCAACCCCGGAATCAAGCCGTGTGTCCAGTGAAAGCACTCAGGCAGAGATACTACTGCAAGGACAACGGCGACTAGGTTCGGTCTTACGCAGTTGCACACTGATTCGATGCTATGACCCGGCATGGAGACGTTAGACTTTGGAAACTCTTCAAGCTCGGCGCACCGGTAGTTTTTTCTTGGTCGGGTCGCTTTCGCTTTCTTTTTCCTTCCTCTTTCGTCCTTCCTCAAACTCCGTTCCAGAACTAGCACGAATTCTCTTCATGTGAAAGCCCCCTTACAGCACGAACCGGCCCAGGATCTTGAAAACGAGGTGCCCAGGAGCAGCCAATCATAAAGCCAAACGTCCGCACCTGAGTCGGCATCATATAGGGTCTTGAGCCTCCCTCCCTGGCAAACATCCACCTTTGGTGTAGGTGTCGCGTTTTGGGCCCCTACAAAACAAAACTGTGTGAAAGTCTGTGCACACCAGAAATCATGATGCACGATGCTGCCTTGACTTGATCATTGAAGGCATCCCGCCGGTACTCGCGGGCTCTTGGGGGATTCGAAGGCTTCAGGATTCCATGCAGCCTACACGGAAATCCCTTTCCCACCGGACCTTGCTTGTAGTCTGGATCTGCGACCAATATCGGGCATTTCGTTCCCACAATCACAAGTCACAAGCCCAGATTTCGACAGCACAGCGAGACGCTGCATTACAAGACATGCCGCTTTACACGGCACAGTGCAAAACGCAGCACGACAGCATAAGTCCAGAACCGTCCGAAAGCAGGGCCTTTGGTGCCTGGGGTGCCCAGGGCCCGCGCTAATGCCTCGGCTTCCGGCTCCCCGATCAAGGAGAAGTCCTGAAGTCCAGGCTTCTGGCACTGAGAATCCCAGTGCCGTGTACTTGGCCCGGCCAGAAGCGCTAAGCTGAACGAAACCCTGCTCCCTGAACTTAACCCGTCAGTCTGTCTGAGGTTCGGCCAGTTTGTCGACGACAATGAGGAGGAGGCAGCCAAGGATAGTGCAAAACACGGCACCCGTAACACGGATGCATGTCTCTTCCACCAGGAAAAAGCCTCGTAGGTCAGTGACTCGGAAGCTGGGCTAGTGTTTCGTTGGCATGTCGCTCGCAGTTCGGAGGCCTTGCCTGCGCGTTTAAAGATGGAATGAGGGCGTCCACTGTTCCATGCAACAGGAAGATACTGCATGGGTCAGATTCGAACAGACATGTCCAGTTCTAATCCCTGGCATATGAGAATATTCGTTCGACATGCTTGACAAAGGCCTAGGTGGCCCCTTGCAAGCCCCGTGACATGGCACGGCGTGATGAGGACGTTATGTGTGCTTCTGGCTGCTGTAGCTCTTCAAGTCAAATACTTGACCTTGCATCAGCTTTGGCTAGTGGCCTCGCTTGCCGGTGACATCTCGAATGCTCGAGGAGTTAAGCATAGATAGACATCATATCTGTAAAACGGCTTGAGCACATCTAAACTGAACTCACTTTTTCAATCCGAAGCCACTACACAGTCTGACGACTTACTTGGAGCAAATAAGGCATATAACTTGTAGGTAGCATCGAGGGCAGGAACTGCTGACAATGCTGTTCAGCCGCATACCAGCCATTTGATGAGCGCAGCTGAAGTCCAGGCAGTGGTGAAGTTCAACCTTCGTGACCATGAATGAAAGCATATGGGGAGCTATGACCCTGGTGGGCACATAAACAAGACAAGGGCTTGAATGACTTACTATCCCGGTTAAGGTTACGTAACTTACCTCGGAAGGCATCATCGATGACAGACAGCAGGTCGTTTCCAGTTACCCCATAAACAGCTATAATATAGCATAAATCTTTGGCCAGGTGCAGTGTCAGATAGTGCTTGTAACCATGGTTCTGAAGGATGTACGGCGCCGCACCTGCGTCGGCAGATAGCAGGATAACATGTGTCGCATCCATGTCTGGAGCCGAATGGACTTGACTAACTCACGCCGAATGCAGAGCCCATGGCATGCAGGCAGCAACGGGCAAGAAATGGGCTCCAGCGTACCCGTTGAAACGCTGAGGGCCGAGGGTACCCCACACCTGCCCAACGATGATTCAAGGACGTAGGCCAGCAGCGTACTGCGGACATCAGGTCCGGTCAGGTCTTCAGGTTATCAGGCAGAGGAAAGCGTTTCGGGAGTTGCTGAGGACCGGCAACTCCAGGTTAGTCGAAAGGGGCAGCTGCACTAGCAGTGGGTTCTCCTCGGCACTCAGCTGGCTGGTTGGTGCTGGTGTTGGTGCTGGTGTGAACACCCGTACTTTCCGTCGTCCATGAATCTCCGGCGTTCTTGAGTGCCACTTGAGGGGCGGCGCCAAGGTGAGAAAGCTAGCCTGGCGAGGCGGGCTCCAAGCAATATCACACCCAAACACATCCATCAGCAATGGAGGGGAAACAAAGCTGGCGTAGGTGAAACAGAGATCACCTCCAGCACATTTAACCACATCAAAAACTCTGCAACAGAGTGATGGGTGAGGGGGGAGGGGATGAAGGAGGGATACCTATTCATTTGGGGTGCTTTGCCAAGTGTGTGGTCAGCATGGTCCTTCTGATGGGGGCTCCAACACTCCGTGCTCGATCCGTTTAAGAACAAGCGGAAGGGGCTGCGCTCCAGCCGAGGATGCCCTTGAATCTGCCTACCACTCTTTCCGCAGATTCCGGGCAAGGGTTCACGATTGACGAAGCGAAGCTCAGAGAACTTTTCGCGGTTCTCACGGAGGATAACCGCCACCCTGCCGGCCTTGGAGGATCGCAAGGATGCCGTAGATGGCGAGTGTGGCTGCACCTCTGTGAGAGAGGGTAGATGATGAGAGAAAGAAGGTCTCGGAGGGTCTCTATAGCCACGCTGCTGAGGTAGGTGATAAACAGGAGGAAGCCTTCAGACTGTTTCATGTTCACCACATCGCCTGCCAGCTCAGGCTGTCTCGATTTATCCACGGGACGACATGTGCCAAGGAATGAATTGCACAATCTGCTCTCGGACAGCGCGACATCCTGCCTTCGGAGAGCTTGCCGTAGTCGAACTGGCACCAGAGGAGGAGTGAGGAAACGATCCTGGGCAGTTTGATAGGTATCCTTCGTATGGCCGCAGGCTTCGGACCGTCGGTGTATATCGTATATCAGACCAAGCATCCAATTCTTGGCTAGGTAGCTCACCAGGATGCATGCCTTGCAGATCCAACTAATCGCAGGATCCCGCTCTGACTGAGAACAGTGCCCACGTGACAACGACTACCGTACTTGGACATTTCTGACTCTTGTCTCAAAGGGGCTTCAACGCATGCTAGAATCATCTTACTGCGATATCATGTAAGGACATGTCGGAACACGAGTCACGCCACGGTCTCACTGAATGAGCTTCCAAACGCTGGGTAGTGGGCAGCTTCAATGTTCGCTTCTTCCACCTCCTCCAGGTACTCCGCCTGCGGGTGCCCCTTCCCTTTGGCATACTGCTTGCACGGATCTTGCTGCTGGAGCTATCAAAGTCCGGCTTGGGCCTGCCGTCTCAGCACGAATGCAATGCTTCCCGAGGTCTAATGGTTGCGGCATGCAGATGGATGTTCAGATCACACACCTCATCACAGCCCCACAGCGCCTCTGTGAGTGACGAGTGGTGTGCCTTGCATCACAACTGAGGACTCCTGTAAATGTTTGCGCCCGTCTTATACAGCGATTTGAACACATTGGCTGCCATCAGCTTCCGCAACAAGCCGCAACAAGAACACTCTCTGGCCCTATCGGAGGCACAAGGCGGCGGATCTCTAGCCTATGGCTGCCTGCGATCTACTGCAAAGCTTGTTGCGACAACGAGCCGAACGAGACCCACGAAGCCTCGGGCCCAAATCAAAACGGTGGCCTCCACGTGTTGGGCGTGAGGCTCGTCCGGTACATTGATTTGACGTCGCAACTGGGCAAGATCAGGTCTGGGCTCAGACTCAGAGCAGGGTGCCGGTCTGTGAGGGTCTGTGCAGAGATGGATTTCGACCCCGACGTGCTGCGATTCGGCGAGATCAGCCGATATGAAACTCACGGCTGAAGAAATAACGCTCCAAGGGGCCCTAGCGGGAGTGGTGTGATTTGGTTTGAGATTGGAGACGAAAAAAGCTGTGTCTTCGAGGTTTCAGGCAATCACGGGCATTTCACATCAAAGTAATGGCACGGATTGCTGGTGCTGGCAGCAGAGTCGAGAGGCCTGACACTCGCAGTTCAAGTCTGGAACTTTCAGAGTGCAGGCACGCCCAAAACTTCCAAAACCCTGCCCACGCCAAGCGAGTGAACCAAGAACGGGTGTGACTAAGTCCAAGAAGCGAATTTGCTCGTAAGGAGGACAACCACTCGGGCAGCTATGGCGAGCTTCAGGAGAAGCAAAAACTGGATGCCGATGACGACAACCTCCCGTCAAGCAAGCAAAAAGTACCTTGTACAGTGTGGCTGGACCGCAGCGCCTTTGAAGGGTCAGGCCATGCAGCAACCACAAGGAACATAGCCCCAACAAGAAGCAGCAGATTGCTTCAGTAATTGCCTACTGCGAGAGCATGACATGCGAAGTGACCTCCAGTCATCTCCAGTCTGTTCAACAGCTTTGCATACACATCCGCCTTTAAGTCACGTCGTTTGCGATCCAAGCAGCAGGACTAAATCCAGAAGTGGCCGCACGCACAATGGAGAAGAACTGGTTGCACGCGCAAATGCCAAGAAATGCCTTCGCTGGAGTTTCTGCTGGATCTGGCGGGCTGTCGGATGTGATTCTACAAGATTGGGTGCCAGCACAAGCTATCAAAAATTCCACAGACACCTACCGACACCATCTCTGCTTGCTGCGTAACAGTCCCTAACATTCTTCATGGCACCGTGACGTGAGCCAGGATATGCACCGCCGCGGCGAAGTTCACATGCGACCCACGCAACGGCCAGGTAATCACGGGAATGAGCACCCAGTGCAGAAGAAACCTTGGGCAGCCATTGACGGTTTCTAGTGAGGCTTACTTCTACTGTGAGGCAGCGTGGGGCTAGAAACGGTTAATCACCCGGTTGATCATAAGACGAAGGAGCAGCACAGTGCACAGCTTTTTCATGTGAAAGCCGTTCACGACCTCGGTTGCGACGGGGATTTAACAAAGAACTACCAATTCCGTACCAAACCAGGAACCTGAACTTCTCCCGGTATCCGAGAGAAGATTTCCAGAACCGTCCAACTGAAATTTCATGTGCAAAGAGCACAGCTGGGAGTTTGAATGAGATTGCCAGATGTTTCGGGGTATGACGCATGGACCATGGCCGCTGAATGTGTGGACTTCGATACAAGGTAACTTTCGCAGCCTTTCACGTACGTACCCGGTACCGTGTATCTACAACTTGCGAGACCGACGGACGTCACAAAGCGGTTATTACTTTTCCAGTTCCGCACAAGAGCTGCAATGCTACAAATGATACCTGAGCCCGCGACCAGCCCGAGCTCGGCATGTTCGATAGACAAGGCCTCGGATGTGCGGAGCTTGTAAATCGTAACCGTTTAAGCATCTCCTAGCTCAACCCACTCGAGTGGCGCTGCGACTCTTGCAACTCGGACTACTGGCAAGGTTAGTGCGCCTCTCTGCCAGAAGCTGCCAAAGCTTCAGATGCTAAGCGCGTGCTTTCCTAGAACCCGTAACGATACTTGGTCAGCAGACCTGAAACTCAGCATGGATGCTGTCGGCTTTGACAGTACTTGTATGACAACGACGCTGGACAACTGCGACGCTGGCCATGAAGATGGCCATGCACGAGCTAATGGTCCTTAGCACGCAGGACTGTAAGCATGAACCGGGGAGCATGGTACTCGCGCGCTCATGCCCTGTTCTGCAAGCACCACTGTCTTAAGCCTCCGCAGCAACCCCGACCGACCCTACACCTAATGGCCTGAAAACTTTGCTTCTCGTACAAGACGGACGAAAACATTCCAGAATGAAGTGAGGGTCTTCACGCTGTAGCTGCGTACCTGCTGGTGTTGAGCTAGGATTTAGCTTGGGCTTTGGGGAATGGGCTCGTGCCAACCCACTCTTCCAGTTTATCTAGCTATTGGTTAATCTGGCCACGGCCAGATCGCTCTTTTCGAAATCGCGCCTGTGGATCTGGAGACAGCAGCATCCACAACAGGAACATGTCCCAAGCCAAAGTCGAATAAAAGAAAACCTGGGCACGAGCTCTCCTGATTGCTTTGTCTATGGTTGTGCTTCGGCGCCAACAGAATCACAGTTCTTGAGCATAAGAGCATCGATTTACAAATCAGGAAGTTCCACTTATATCGAATCTGGCATAGCATCCTCACATCAAGAAGCCTGATCGGGTCTGAATACTCGGAATCCTACCCTGTACCTTACCTTACCGTTGAGGCGGGGTGAGTCCTGAGGGCGTTGAAATCTGTAGATAGCCAAAGCGCAGAGATTCCAAATCCGATTTCCTCCTGGAAGAGTCAGATGCTGACGGATGCCGCACTCTTCTGCTTAATGCGGGTACATTCCCTGCACACAACCAGATCTGTATCGTACATACTGGAATGTAACCTCTTGAAAGCCCATGACAAGCTCCGAGTCCTGGTCTTGCTTGAGCTGCTTGACATAGAGTGCAGCACCGTCTGCAATGGTAGGGCTTCGAGTGTAAATTCTTCTGAATGTGTGTCGCGACCCGCTCTTCTATCACGACGCTTCTTGTGTAACATGCTGTTTTCAGCTTCTGCAGAGTCTGGCAGCTGGTACTCGGGTAGACCTTCTTCAATGTGGATGGATAGTTAGCTTTCAGGACCAGATACTTGCTTCACTGGCTGCACCATGCACCTTCGCCCTGAGCTGGTGCCGTTGATGGCAATGTCGTGGAGGAGGTAGTTGCATTGTCCCCCCCTGCCATGTACTGATATGTGCAAGGTACAGCAAGGAAGACTGGCTAGCAAGCTCACAGAGAGCAGCTAGAGTGAGGAGCTTTGACCCTCTTGCCGCCTTGTTGGAACGGGTTCTCGGCATCTTCCGGGCCCACGGAGCGAAAGGAGAGCGCAGCCTGTGTTCCAGCGCTCGTGCACATCTTGGACTCTCCCTGGTTCCCTTCCCGATGAGGGCTTTGGCCTGCTCGCTCTCCTCCCGGTGCACCGTGCGCTTGCGGACTTTGTAGACTGAGTCTGACAGAGCGTGCCGGCTCAGCAGAGAATCTTCATGCCAGTGCTTTGATGCAGGTAACAGACTTCGGGGCCTGTGTCACGGAACCGCGAGGCGAAAACATTTTGAGATCGGAAGGGCTGGAATTCATAATTCCATTCGGCGATTCGCGGACGGGGGAAGCCCTGCAATTTAGGGGATTTGCAGTTCGTGGTTGTCGAACCCGGAGCGATCACGAAAAACGGGGAGAGCGTGGAGCGACTTTCTCAAGGCCTCGCCTTTCCCTCTCCACAAAGGTGGTTGCCGAAAAATAAGATGGTGATTGCCGTGAGGATCTGAGTTTAAGATGATTTCAGCTCGGGAACAGAAGGCAGTTTATTTTACTGGGTGACGGATCAAAAAAACATTAAATCACGATCAATAAACTAAACCACAAAGATCAAGACAAGTTAAAACAGAATCAAGAATTGGAACCAGTACCTACGCAACAAGGCTACAGAAAACGAAAGGGAGAGTGATCAAAAACATATTCAGTTTGTGTCAAAAACAAATTGAACTGGTCCTAGTAGTCGAGTAGTAACTTGAGTGGTAGTAGTAGCAGTAGTGGTAGTAGTAGTAGTTGTAGTAGTAGTAGTAGTCGTGCTTATCGTGTTCACATTGGCACCGGCTCCTAGCATATGCTCAACTGCTACGCTTTTCTGTATGTGCGCTGCCCGGAGCTGCCATAATTAAGGGGATAATAGTGTAGCATGCAGTCGCTCAGTCAAGCTGTGTGCGGAGTTGCTTGCTTTTCTGCATTCTGAACGTACAGGTGCTTTCTGCTAGTCATCTGCAGGCCTTAAATGTCACTGCAGAAGTCTTTGTGGATAGCCGCTAATGTCTTTACTTAGCCCGCGCATAGACTGCTTTTGCCATTTTCGGATATACTCCGATTCAGACTCTCCGCTTACGGGACCTTCGGGTCGGGAGATGTCACAATCCTTTTTCAGTTTCATTCGGGGCTCTCAAGTGAAGAGTTGCGCCTTATGCGCCGGGGAGCCGTCCCTGCCAGAATACGGGAGCCAAGCAAGGACCTCTTTGCTGCGTGTGGAAGAAGTAGTAGTCGTAGTAGTAGTACTCGTACTCGTACTCGTACT